CAAACGCCAAAACTCCTTTTGAGAACACTTTTGTTCGAGATGCCAAAAAAATTAATACAGGGGGTCAAAAAAAAAAGACTACTTCGGCCGGAGTCACATATCAGCAAAGTTTTCGCAGCCCAGACAGAGGACGTGGATACGAGTACCAGGGCGGAAGATACCCAAGATGTTCCTCGATAAGCAGGAGCTGGCTCTCGCCCATCACCTTCATGTACACCAAAATATGAAGTCATCTCCAGTCGCAGCCTGACTGGAGAAGGCCTTTGGAATTCACGTCACCTCGAAACAGCTGCAAAACTTCCTAAATCCGAGCACCCAGGATGGACCACCTGAGGACCGGCACCCTTGATCTGGAAGACCTCCAACATCGAGCAGCTCCGACAACGTCGCTACGGTCCAGGATATCATCTTCACCGCAGTCGCCAAGGCGCCAGTTGATGCTATGGGCCAGAAATTCATGAAATGAGAAGACAGATATTTTCTTCGTGGAACCCGGACTGGAAGTGAACGCTGACTGTTACATCGTACAGCTCGAAGAGAAGATCCTGCCTTCATGTCGTCGCATGTACCATCTTGAAAACTTCGTACTGCGACAGGATTGGGTGCCAGCACATGACTCGGAATTGAAGGACATTGGGTACCTAAAATGAAAACGGAATATTCAAGTTGTCACCTGACGCTGAACCTCCTCGATACAAAGGTTCCGAGTGGGACGCTCAACAGGTGTGGTCGGCAGCCGGAGAAACCAAAGCGATCTCCGCCTGAGCTTATGCCCGAATCCAGGGTCGCCGTGCACAGAATCTCTCGCCGTGGCGTTCGTCTAGAAGCTTGTTGGGGGGTTTGTGATCGTGTACATTGTGTTGTTGAATAAGATGGTGGAAATGTCTAATCAGAAACTCAATAGTGTGCTTAGTCGAAGAAAAAAAGTGTCTTTTTTAGCCACCCCCCGTAGTTTGGAGGAATGATAATTCCGAAAAACCTGGCCGGGTCACGAATTTAATACAGAGTGTTTTCTGATGTTGCTAGTTGAAAAAAAGGTATATCAAGTTCAGAAAATAGAAGAGAATGGAATGGCATAATCTAAAAATGTTTAGAAGTACTGTATTCCTATTCACTTTTCAATACCAATCACTGCCGCTATAAGCCCCCGCCTCGAGTCAGCTGCTAGGCCAGCCAGCCTCACGCACCCCCCCCCCCCCTAGTTAACTGCACCATGATCACTCAGACCATTATACTCGCTATTGCTTATCATAATATTGCAGATGAATGCATACGTTGTAATTGAAAAACGGAGTTCCACAGAATAAAAGGGAATCCTTCCTAGTACGAAGCTCAATTATTACTTTTAAGATGATAAACGGGATGAGCTTTTTGATCTCTTGCAGTACGATGTGATGATAAACAGGCGACGAGCAAGCGATTAGAGCTCATTAGCGCTTCAGTATCTGCTACAAAGGATGCGTGCTGTCTACCCATCAGAAATCATTCTCATACCCAAAGCAGCGCAAACTTCTCACGTGACTTCATGAAAAGCCTTTCTCAAGGGTATGGGCCAAGTGTTCCAGTAACGTCATTGAACCTCCTTAGTACCGCCCCATAAACCTCGGTATTGTGCCGACTGGAAGGTGCATTGCTTCCACCCCACGAGCTTGATAAATCACTTTTATTGGCATACGTTTCGGCGGGATCGGCAGGCGACTTCAAAAGCGTCGTGGAAGGCGACCATTGGAGACTGGACTATTTCCGGGGTAAGGATTTATACGCAGTTACCTGAGAGGGATCCCCTACTTGTGGAGGTAATCTGGTCTGCAACCTCAAAGGTTGTCCCATGATTTTATAATGAGGGCCTTGCGGCCGTCATAAACCAAAGAAACGCCACCCGTAGAAGTTGCTACCCTCATGTGGGGACGAGATATGTCGAAGTTCCTTCATCTATGGACACAGATATGACGCGTTGCTTTCACTCTAGCCAACCTTTATCGCTCGTCTGTTTGGAGCTCGTGTTCTTGTTGTCCCATTCCTCCGCCTCTGTTCTCCTGCCGCGCAACAGTGCCTCGCTTCTTCGAATACTAGTCCAATCTCGTTGCCTTATTCGGGGCTCTTCTGCTGCCACGGTTTCATTCCCCCTTTTCTTCACTGATAACGCAACAAGAAGCGAGTTCTAATTTCCAGCAAAAAACTTACGAACCACGAATGTGGCATCAATATGGATAAAGACCTCCTTATGTCTTAATATTTCTCCTGTATAAAAATGGTTTTCTTTCCTTCTCAAGCCTCTCCCACGTCGAGTGATTCCAATCCGTGCGAGAGGATAAAAGGTCCACCTCTCCATTGGTCGCCCATAAAAAGTCAGTGCACAGGTCGAATCGCATTCAAACGTTCCCCGTGATTTTGAATTTGGAAAGAACGCGTGGCGCATTCCAACTACAATCAAAGCTGAATGCTCCATCATTTCGAACTTATGGTCTACCTGTATGGTGCGATATGTAATTCGAAGTACCTTCCGGTCTAAATGTCCTTCCATTGTGGACAGAACTACATAACGAGTAGTATTCGATTGCACTTTTTCTTCGTACCGCTCAAAGGCGTGACAAAAGGGTGGGCGTGGCTCGGGACGTAAGGGAGACAATCGAGCCTTTATTCCTTTACGCTGGAAACGTTCTAAGTGGCCTAAATGACGTTGGTTAACTACTGAGAGTGTAGCCGATTCTTCGAGGTTACCACCACCAAAGCGTTCGTGGAATTTCCGTTCAAACGCAATTTGCGGTGAAAACCGCTTCAACGCCACATCGTGAGCCATTTTTGGTGGCTCCCATTCCACAGCACTATGCTCATCACTACTTCTCTCATTTCAGTTTCTGACGCAACCGCGATTCTTTTCCATCGATGCATATTACACGCTCACCGTATGGGCGGGGTCAGCCGTGCCGCTATGACTTCCTTGTCGGCGCACTAACTTCCCCTGCCTCTTCAGAAAGGAGATGCGTACCAATGATATAACGCATAATGGCAGGTCTGGTCACCAAACCCAAGCACCGGAACGGAGTAGGTCAGTGATATTCGTTTGATGGCCAACAAAAACGTTCATTTGTGCTCACAATGTGCTTTCCAGCGCCGCAAGTCATGATGATAGAGCGCTTTGAGCCTCAACAGGCGAGAATGAGTGTCATCACCTTTAAAATTTATCATTTTTTCTATGTTCTTGCCTTCCTGTGCGAGTAGCCTTATTATGCATTCCGAGCGGCGTGTGCCTTTTTTGTTGCCCCTCCACCCAGTTTTATGCTTGCTTTGAACTACAACACAGGTCGGCCTATTATCGCCAGCCAATTACTCACACGACTATGTTTCGCACGTTCGTCGAATGGAGTTGGAGGTTGTCGTTTCGCGGCTTATAAGGTGCGTCTCAGTCCCTAGTAGTATGCGCGACCCTTCTGCGAAACACTCGTGCCAAACTTATGTCAACGGTGCTTCCATGCCGCCTGGGCCAGTTGATAAGTGATAACCTTTTTGGACTGTCACAACACCGGCTTGTACTTATATAACCCCTGGGTTGGAGAGAGAGGTGCCACTGGTTCACTACCCCCCTCATCGCGACTGCCAAGCTTGAAATCGAAAAACATGCCGCGCATTCGCGAAAGATGATCCACCCGCATGCGAGACATCCTCTCACGCTCACGATGAAGTAGAGGCTGGAACCAGCTTTGCAGATGTCTAGCTACCACTCGCTCACACTCTGCTCTCACGTTTCTGCATCCGCGCCCCCTAGCTCTCTGGCCTCAGTGTATTTGACTACTTTTTTTTTCGGAAATTCCGATTAAGGCAAGGATGACACTTCTGTTGTCCATTTCCTCTCTTTTCCGACGCTTGCTTAAAAAAGGCGTTCTTTTGTAGTCTCTGTCTTCTTGAGTTTACTGATACTTTTCTCCTATTTTTTGGATGCATTTTTTCTCAAATTCTTTGATGCCGGCCGCGGCCGATGTAGCAAAGCCTACGCGGCCAGGTCGGGCGCTGGTGGCAGGGACGCGTTGGAGGGCATTTTTTCTGTTCTCATCGAGCAATTGCAATGTTCATCTGTGAAGACACTAGGATGAACGGGCGAGCAAGTAATTTTGTCCCTAGAGAGGGAAATACTAATTCAGGAAACTACGACTCCCTAATCCCCAAATACCACCACAGAATACGCCCACCTCCTCCACCATATATACATATAAAACACTTTCTACGATTCACCAACTTCTAACAACTACCAGAATTATCCCGAAACGATCTAGTTTATTTAATTATCCCAACAATTTTCGCATGATCGAAGGGGGCGGGCAGGAAAGTCAAATACTGAGACCGGTAATTTTTTATTTAGACTACGACATCATACAACCTACACACACAAAAAATAGCATTATAACAACCACAACCACCCCCCCTATATTAGCGACAGCTTGAAACAGAGAATAACAGCTGGTCCAGAAAAATTTTGAGACCAAATACGACCCTCCCCCAGCGACCAAATACCCTCCAGCTGGGGATTCCGCAACGCGGTCTGCTTCTGTATTCCTATAAGGTATGCAATAACAAGAGCCTCAATACATGGGAAGAGCCAACAGGTCTCACCAAGGTGTGAAGTGCACTCTAACAGGAACTGCAAGAGGAAGTAACAGAAGTGCAAAGTGCTCCTCCCAAACCGAACAGCGCCCGTCAACTGTTTAAAAATAGCTGACGCCTCACTGACGTCACATAACACTTTCACGACGTGACTTGAAAATCATTAAAAATGATGGAATACCGTTATTAGCGTGCTAGATTCCACGTTCTATTCAACAACTGACGTACCCGTGCTACATCTGCTCCCTCCAGTCCTCATTTTACATCCAAAACTTTACAATTTTGTCCTTTCCTCATTGCCGTAGTGTTGCTAATTTTAAGAGTTCATTTTTCGGAAGCTTATTTTTATCGCGTTTTTCGTTTGATTGACCGACGACTAACCGAATTTTCGGCCAATTGCAATGGTTCGTGCGGGTGCTTTGCCCGATTGGTTGGTCATTTATGTGAACGAATTTCAGTGGCTCAAATTGATGTTGGCTGAAGTCATCACAGAAAATCCGCGTACGGTTTTCGATGTCAGTAATCATTATACGGTAGTGCTATGTATCACCTACCTTCTAATAGGTTAGTTCCGCTATTTTTGCGATATATTTCTCATAATAATATTTTATATCAAAACATTATTATAATCTTCTTTTTCAAAACAATTATACTATTCCCGATACCCCTATGAAACAAATTTCCGTCAGTTGTGTCTAATTGTTTTGATATGTTTTCGCAAACTGTTCCGGCAGAGCTCTGCGACGAAAGATGTGATTAGACTGGGATCCGCGATGGGCTCTGACTAAGGCCCCTCAGCAACCTACTGCCTTCGAAGACATAAGGCACGACAATTTGGTATCCGGTCTAAAATGGTAGCAGGGTGCTATACAGTGGGAAATGGCGAAAAAGCGAAGCGAAACGGCCAAAAACCTGCAAAAAAGCTTTTGTTTTGCGCGACTCAGAAAGCAATTTCGGACGAGTTTCTCACTGGCATCATGCCAATAACCGCTACGGTAGATACAGCTGCATGTCTGTCTGTATATCCACACAGCACCGCAGCCTTTTCATATCAATTTCATTCATATTCCTATCGCATCATTACTGTGGGCTTTCGCAAATGAAAGCGATAACGAGGCATTCAGCATCGGTCGGAATTTGTGGGGGGGGGGGGGGGGCGGTGGGCGTCCGGGTCTGTATGCTGCAGTTTGATGGGGCGTTATAAGGGCACCCTCTTCGGAAAAGGCGCCAGCCCCTGCTCAGGAACGCCTAAATCTGTCCTGCTAGGCGTATCAATCCTACACGCCTGAAGGATTTACCGTGCCATTTGTCTTCAATGATAGCAAATTCCGCAATAATCGGATGGGCGGAAACTCACAACTCACATTCCGCTGTGTTCAATAAAGCAAAGAGAACCAACGACGAACACAATAACTATGGCTCTCCGCCCATATTTCGTTCATCCGGATTTCGCGGAATGCTTCACTAGAGTGAATTACTTTTTTAAAAATTCATTAATACTATAGGACAGCTGATCAGCTTAAAATGACGTCATTATCTGTCATTCAGGTTCTGCTTCTATTCTATTCAACATTTTCAACATTTACGTATTTGGACGACGGGAATCACTTAGGAAAAAGTATATTGTATTCATTTTCCTCGAAGCCGCCGAAGTCGTGAATGGCGTCGCCTACATAATGACCGGTACGTGAATTTTCACAAAGCTAGAATGCTTTCACTCCCGCTCTTCTACAAAACGTGCTGGACATACCGCGAGATATTAGAATGATTGAACCTCAGCGCTGATGTATGAACCCTTTGAGTCGCACACAAAATTGGACCCAGCGCACACCACCTCGAGGAGAGAAGGTGGGGGCAAGCCAAAGCTAAAGTAAGTGCCTTTTATCCTTACAAACAAAACGACAACCACCTAACGATGGGAGATTCGATCCATAACTTGATCCCCGAAGCGTGTAAGTGGTAGCAGCACCTTTTGTCGCTACACTACACAGGTTCACTTGAAACGAATCGAGCGCCCAAAATTATAGGAACGCCCGTTCATTGTACCCCTTTCAGGAGTTGGTCGACTGAACTCGATTGTCAGTGGCATTTCAAGGAAGCCAATCACTGTAGAAGACTGTTTTTTCACAGTGGGTTCATATTACTAATTATTTTCTCCCAGAGCACTATACACTTCCAACGTTTCATAATTTTGAACAAATTAGAACAAAATCTGGCGCAGTTTGTCGAAGGGGGGGGGGGCATTCGGCTTTTCATAGATGTGCCGACCCATCTAGGTAGCCTTTTCTCGAGTTGACA